ATGTGGTCGTGTGTTAGTAAGGCTGGAGATGATAATCTGGGAGGTACTGGGGACTGGAGCGAGAGGAAAAATAATAATTATGTTTAATTATCAGTTTATTGAGGAACTCTGTGACGAAACGACCATAGAGGAGTATCATGGAAAATATAGTAACGACTACGGGAAATTATTCCTATAGAGAGTTTCCGTTATATAAGTTGAATATAAAACAAGACTTAATTATAGTTACGCATTTAATAAGTCTAGATCTAGTACTTATATATAACTATTTATTCTTACATACAACTTTTATACAAGCGGCGTCGTGAGAAAAAGCTAGTGTGACGGAATACAAGAGAAAAGAAAATCTTAAAATAGTTAGATCCACTACGAATAACATTCAATATAAAATATTATTGTATATTATATTTACAACATGTAATATACATTTAACATATTGGCAGAACTTATTACACTGAAAGAATTTACACGATAATAAATACTGGCACGTCTGTTAATATTAATTTAAACACTATAGTTTAAAGTCTCGTTGTGTAGCGAGAGCTGGTTTAAAATAAAATGTTATTTAATTAATTATTATTCATGTTTATAGATTTTTAAAAGGCGATCTGAAGGTCGACACGACACAGAAGTTAGTTCAACCGAATAATGAGGCAATTTAAAAACAATAAAAATCATTTAGAAGAGTTTCACCGGATTTAGACATTCCATGTTTGTCGACTGAACACTACAACCTAATTACAAACTTGAATATTATACATTTTACATAGTATTCGCTGACTTTACATTGATTACAAAACTTAAAGAGATTTTAGGAGTAATAATAGTATGTATGTATGTATTATTATAATTTAGATAATATTGCTCTAAATCCACATCTCGTTTGTCCGTGATCATGGCTGCTGAAATGTAACCGAAACGTCGTTTAATTTTAATACAATAAAATACGCGCAGCATAATCGGAAAAAATATTAGTTTCATTTAAATGAATACTCGCGACGTCTTAGATCTCATTATATAGCTCTAAAAATAACCAAGCCCCAATTCTGTTATTGTCATTTTCCATTATTTAAACACTGTTGTAAGTTATTTATTTCGTTCACTAATATTCTTATACCACACATACTATCTGTGACTCCTTATTTTGCTCGTGTTACGTACTCAGTCATCTCAGTAGGCAGGTCCTCGTGTGTTTCAGTAACGTTAAACTCTGAATTGCATCTGATAACACAGCCCGGGGTCGTCGCGACCCCAGACCCCAGATGTAGTGATAGCACCGCCTCTTACGTGTTGCTCCGTTTTTAACTGAGTAAGGGTTCCGTACGTCACCGCCGCGGGCTCACTAACTTTCGGGATTTATTTTATAAGTTGAATGTCCTTACAGTTTATTATACGCATTACAGTTCCTCGCTTCTACATCTCACACATAGAGCTTTGTTTTTCCAGTGTATATACTGGTATGTGCGGATCGATGTATATATGTATGAATGTATGTACGTGGGTGTGTTTAAATGTTCGCTCTTAACTGTGAAACTCGTAAAACGTAATTGCAAAATTAAATATTATTATATTTGTGTTGGCGGAGTGATTTCCACTAGTATGTTAATATGTAAGTTATATACAGTGAGAAGTTCAAAATCTCTATTTTCTAGTATTCTCTGTCTATGTATAAAGGAACGTACATGGCTTTATATTTCTTGGATATTCATTTGTTCCTAACTGTATTTGTGTGTCTTTTTATATTACTTGCTAATACTTCAATTTAATATGATATATTATATATGCTAGTAAAATAATAAATTAGTGATGTAATTTTATCGAAAATTTTGTTAGATTTTTTTTAAAAAGGCTGTAATTAAAATAGTCTGTAGGAGTTAAATATGTATAATGAAAACACGTTTATGATAGAATATAATTGTAATTAAATTGGAAATGTTCGTATATTTTTTAATATAATATGTATTATTGACAACTCTAATTTTATATTGCCTAGCAAAAATAAACCAAACAAAGCAGCGTGGAAAATAGAAAAAAGGAAATGTGAAACAATCGTATTTGGTAGTTTATGTCGGGGCGGGCGACGTCGGGAGGCGAGTGATGTATAGACGGAGGATGAATGGATGGTTTTAAATGGTTGAAATTAAATTTCCACTGACAGGTCACCGTTGGGGGAACACCGACAAAAATATTTGGGAACAAAACTTTAGGCTTACGGTAACAGTGAGAGAAGAGTCATTTAAAAAAACAATAATAATAATAACTTGATACTAGATGGTTGACGCTCACTGTAATTGGTATAACTTCCCAGCGTATATGATAAGTCTAGTTATTATAACAGTCAGTCTGAATTAATCAGTATAATGTAAAAGGTTCGCCCGCGAAAGTATCGACTCGGAGAGAAAATAAACTTGACTGAGGAACGGCTGCGTGACTCTAAATGTATGGAAGCTGACTGATACATAACGTATATAAGGGATTTAATGAGAGACTTGTCTGTACTGACAGTGTAGGTGTGTCAGTTAAACAATTTCCACGGCACAAGTCATAATTTGTGATGAAACTTTTCCCCGTCAGTAATGATCGATGGACGCGGAAGGATCTCTTACGAACGTAACTCACGGAACGAACTAATAATAACATTTATTACTTTTCGGGACGTGATCAGAAACACAATAACAAAATGGCGGTTGTCAAAACAAAAAGACACAAGATGTCGCTGAGCGTGACCGCACTACCAACTGACTTAAGATAATATTAAGATGAGCTCGGAAAAGATAATATATATACGGGAAGGGTCACTGGATGTTAGAGAGGAGGAAGATAGAGAAAAATATATACCGGAGTTACTAAAGAATATACATATATTAAATATCAATCAGAGGATAAGAGTCGTATGATGAGTATAAAATAAATATAGTTATCCCAACAGTCGTATTATTAATTCATATTTATTATTATAATATTTAGCTGAATGTAATTCATTGTAATTATATAACAGTATGTTATCTATACACAAATAATCCTCAATGTAAATGGAAAATAATCAGCCATTGTCCATTATAAATACAAAATAAATGAAAATAACATCGATCAGGTACACCGAGGATCGAACATAATGTGTAGTATAGAGGAGGGAAGGAGGGAGTCGCGGCTCCCGGATGAAAATTGTTATGGAATATGTTAAATATAAAAAGATAAACAGGAGTTTAAAGCCCCGTTTGTGATTCAAATCACGAAAAAGGACGAGTATTCGAAGGAGCCTATCGACTATCGCCTATTACAAATACTATAATAATAATAAATATACATATATAAAAGATGTTTAATATTATAAAAGATCCTTCATATTGTAGTGAACTCGTATGTAGTAGAGAGGTAATATTACTTATAAATGATATTAACATTTGTTTTATCAATATACTTTTAGAAAGAAACGCGTTTATGATTAATAACAGCTCAAGATTAATGTTGTCCACATAACAATTTCATTTAATACAGTTTAAAAAGGAGACAGTGGACATGTATTATGGTATTATAATAACAAACAGTTCATGATAATAATATGCAGGATAATGTGAACGACTTATGTTATATACATCTATATATAATATACACCTCAATGATATAGTCATACAGACAAAGAAACATATTGTTTAAGGCTAGAGAAGGGGACAAGTGAAAAATTGATTGATATTGAATCATGAGAAAGTATCTATCTTATGCTATGTGGCAAACATCAGCCTTTGGGATAGATTTATACTATGATATTTTTCACTATTTTAAACAGTAAGAAATGTTCCTAGCAGCTAGTTGTTTGTGAGAATCAAACATGTCACTCGTGAGGGTCGGGAGCGAGGAGCGTCTTCTCTTCTTCATATACATGTGATGATGGCCTCCCGACGCCGACCGGTCCTCGGGCACTAATTGACGTCCGACAGATCCACTTATACGATCACCAATTGACCAATAAACCGGTCGGAACTCAACTTTATTCTCGCAGTTTTAAGACGACCGTCGAATACAATTTTCCACAGAATTCACTTAGACTTTCGATCGCGTGTACAATAACGAAAGCTGCTGCCAACCCGAAATAAGGTCGAGGGACTTTGATCCGTTTCATTCTAGTAATAAAACCTATTTTATTGAGTGATCTTTGAGTTCATGTCACGTTTATATCATTAAAAAGTAGAACCCGTTATGGTGATGCAAGGGGCTACACCGGACCCCGTTCTGTTCTATTCCGAGTTTTCACGCCTGTTAACAGAGTTCATTTTCCTCTGTGTTAGGACCGTCGCTTGTATCGTTTCACAGTCAACTCCTCGATCTGCAGTCCGGAATGCCTGGTGTGGCGGAACCTGTCCGTTGACTCAGAAATGCACTTGATACTGACTTTGTAAACCACACGTCTGATTGCTCCTCTCCTCCCCCCTCACCCCTCTCTTTCTAACACAACTCATTTTTTGTCCATCTCAAGTGCTGAACCATTTGATCTGCCAACTATTAACTCCGGGAGCTATTTGCACGTTCTCATAAAATGCTTAAACGCTTACCTCTTAAGACACAGTGTAGTGAGTGAGTTCAAATTACTAATAGAAATTTACGAGTAGATGTTTTTATACTTACTTACTAGTTTTTGCCCACTCCTTTGTCTGAGTTAGTTTCATAATAAAAAATGTATAGCAGACTAGGCGAACTGTTCCTATTTAGAGGCAATAAATAAATAGATTTCGGATTTTATTAACATTTTTTTTTTTGGTTGAACTTATTCAAAAGTATCCTATGTCAGTCTCCTGATCTCAACCTTCCTCCCCTTAAATTTCCAAAAAATTCAATACAGCCATTCTTGAGTTATAAATAGTGTATCTAACACGACTTTCTTTTATAAATATGTATAGATTGATATGAAGAAGACTGGAAAGTCTTGTTAAGGCTGTACAATGATAATAAAATGCCGGAAAAGGCAGATACAATGAAATAAAACCTTTATCCATAAAATTAATTTACAGAAACGGCAACATTGAAACAAAGCCGTACCGGGAAGCGAACCCGTGTCCCTCGCGGCCACTCAATTTCATTACTAATTCGCTGGACGTACCCACAGAATTAAAACGGTCCGCTTCACCCTCGCCCCGTGCGCTGCAAAACAAAATCGCCTCTATCATATAGGACCTTCTATAAGGTTGAAAAATATTTTCCTCCAACCTTTATTGTGTGTTTATGTTCTTACGTATTGTTAGTGTGTGTGAGTGGTATCTAGACGGGCCGCGAAGTGTTGTTTTTAATCCGTTACGGCCGGCAGTTACTGATATCAGATGATAAATATGACGCTTTGGTGGAATTGTTAATGTACTACCATCCACCTGAACAACTGTGGAGGATACTTACATGTAACATTGAGGCGATATAAACATTGTGTTATTATTAACAATAAAACATGTTTAAACGGTCAAATCTATTAATGAACGATCGATGTACAGATGCAGGTACGCGGCAGTAAGTTATGAAGTCAATTTTCATTAGGGAGAGGCGCCGGGAGGGACACTTAAGTTTTATGAACGCTAAGCGCCGGCAGTCAATGTGTAATATGTAGCTGTAAAACTTACAAAGTATCTCAAACAATACCTCGCCTCGTCAATGACTGAATCAAAGGTTCCAAGTGTGCGGAGTGTGAACTCGCGGACTGATCTCATATTTCACATCTTTATATTGAAAACTATAAAAGGAGCTCAACGATAACAATCTTCCTTGAAACACAACTAGCTACAACACGGACGCTTCGTGTGAAGTCATTATGATCCAAAGGCAGACAATTCCTTATAATGTAACAAGTATTATAGTTACTTTTTAGAAATTATTTACAACGTTTCTTCCATGGAGTTATCGTATGTTGTAAAGGCCACAAATAAAAGTAGCCGAGTGTGTTTTATACCGCTGTTTACCAAATTTGTAGTGACTTTTTAAAAGGAAAGGAAATAACTTTGTATTTATTGCCATCTTTCCATAGACACAAGCCAGTGGTCGTCGGTGCGACAGCTCAGTTATTAATGTGAGCGGGACACGACATCGAACCCTGGACCTACCGCTGTGCTTGCAACATATAGAGACGAATTACTTGAAACGAATTACTATACTACATACTTCCAGTCGCCAGGTTCATGTGTTGGGAGAGACTTCAGATGAGCTCTTTTAAGTTTTTGGTCACAATACATGGAGGAAGCGTAGTTCATTGCTCATTAAGACGGGAGGAAACATTATTGAATCATTGTTTAATGATAACAATATATTATAATTCCTTCTCCATTCGCTCGTCCTAAAAATAACTTTAATAATTACTTTTCTTAATTCCTATGTGTATTGTATTCTACTTTTTTAGTCGGTTTTTCTTCGTATTGAGTTAAGTCATTGCTTTCATAGCTGGAGTTGTTTAGGTTTTAGTTTTTTACACTTCGGTGACGGTTTCCAAATGACTGGCGACAGTCATAGTTGAAAATATTCGCGATTATCACTATGAGTGTCTTATCATAGTATATATAGTGTGTTTTGTTTTTGTTCTCATTATAATCATCGTCTCCTTATCCGCGGAGTCAGTGTGTTTGTATGTAGGTACAAGGTGTTGCGTGGTGATCGGCTGTTACGATGCCGTTTCACCTTAATTACCATAAAAAGCGTGTAATATTCAAAACACGTCATTATTTCAAATGTACTCTGAGCTCGCAGCGAATTCACTAAATATTATAAATAAACTAATATACATTACGTTGCTTTACACGTGTCTATAAGTCACTGTATATAATTTATGTAAGACATCAAGCAATACTTCTCTGTGTATTCTGTATGTAGGAGTACTTATCAAGCTGGCCGTGGTTGTCTCTCAGGTTAAAGTAATCTCAGCTATTTAGACGTCTCCTGCCTCTCGATAAACGTTCCATTATCAGTTGATAGGGAATTTGATTAAGCTATTATCAGAAGAATGCTCAGCCCCTCTCACCCTCTCACCCTCCACCCCAGCGACATCTTGTTCACATCTCAGGCGTGTTTTGAATGGGATCGCTATTAACAAGACATCGGCATTCAAAGCCTGTCGCGACAACACTACACTGTGGGAGACCAATGAATTATATCTTTGAATCTAATTTAATATCCTTCATTATATTTGTTGTTTATAAAACACTACTGTATAATGTTATATAAACATTGAATATTAATACACTTAATGACATATTACAAATATTATGTATAAAATATATATTTAATGTGAAGTAATTCCGTGAAGACGACAGACGAGCTCGTTACAGGAGAAATAAAATGCAAAGCAGGATACAGAGATTATACCAGTATATATACCGGCCACAGTTACTAATATAGTAGATATCTGAACGATGCAGCAAACTAGACTTAAAATATTAGCCTTAGGTAACATTATTGATAGAAATTAAACAAGTTTTTAAGTTAAACATCAAATGAATAGTTCAAGATGTCACTAACAAACGTTAACTTAACAATATTACAATCATATTTTATTAAATGGACTCTAACTAAAGGGAATATTAGTTCAACATCGAGTGAGAAACATAGTTTATATGGAAACTAAATCTTTTACCGGCTGCTGTTAGAATAATCACTATAATAAGTTTGTCTTCTACTGGAAATAATATTCTTCTGAAGACTTATCTAGGAACGAGTAATGGAAACGGGTACATCTTAGTAAAAATTGTGAACAATCAAAACTAGCATTACTTGAAATGAGTTTTTTTTACATTGCAGCCGAATGATTACATTTATACGACAGTACAAGCATATCTGACCTTTGACTTTGATAGTTGATAGTATGTACCTGCCAGTTGTCTTATATAATGAGATATTTTCCCACAGTTTCTTTCACTTTTGTTTGAATAACCCGAATGTACTGATGTAACATCTACACATAATTACAATGAATTATAATATATTACGTTTAGGGAGTGTACGCGTACAATAGAAACATTGGCTTTGATTCAACTGCACAGTTACTTGTTAGTTAACAGTCCTGTCTCATAAACTCAGTGAAGCGGTAAACGCTCTCATCTCGACGTGAAAATCTTCTAAATGTCCCTAAACCGTAAGTTTAAAGTGCATCCATTTTCTTACTTTCCACGACCAAATCCTGAATAATATCCACTGACTATCAGATTTGAACTCTAAAGCGTTATAAGATAAGATCTATTTTGTTGTAACAGATGAGCGAATGATAAATAAATTTTGGTTAAACCTCCTGGTTGCAGTACCATTACAGTGTATCGGCGGATTTCCAAGCTCGCTCACGATTGTTATTCAGATTGACGTATCGGATCCGTCCCGTCATTAAATTGGCTTCTTCGGAAACATTTTGTATGTAAATTGTATTAAATTTCACTAGTTGATGTTCGTACTCGTATTGCTTTATGGGAATAATTGATTGTTAGAATTCTTAAAGTTGGAATCGGAATATGTTCATCGAACAATATTGTATAAAATATAAAAATAAACTTCATTAAACATTCTAGTGTGATATTTTATTAAAATCGTAGAATATTATTTAAATATATCGTTTCCGGTCCTTATAGTTTGTAGTTATTGGTGGTGTGTGTCGTGTCGTATCCGTGTCGTGTAAATGCCGCCCGGTCTCATTGATATATGCGGGCTTTAACAGTTTAAATGTTATTAAATCACAGCTGTTCGTGTTCTGAAATGTTAATGTTAATATATTATGTTCAAAGTTTTGCTCAACAATTAACATAACATCGTTTTCTCTTAATTTATCTCCAATACTTCCCGTATTCTTTATATTTCTATAAAGTATTTTCTTATAATTCAATACCTCTTAGTCTATCAACACTCGATGTATATAATAGAGGATCTCTCTTTGAACAAACGCTGTACTTTACATATGAATGCCCTCGTCTTTACTCGTTCCTATCTCGCCTTCAATCTGTCATTGTAACTTGTAAGACGGCATTTATTCAAAATAATTCGTTTGAAGAGACTATTGTGATCGTTTCTATATGATTAGTTCACACATAAGTATTTATATATAGTTCTTATGTACATTTATGTTATATACTATTAAATGTTAAGTATATAATGATTACTAAATAACGTTAACAGTGAACGAGATCTTACATTTCCTGAGACGTGTGTGTTATAAGTCGTTGAATTTGTATGAAGAGAAACAGAGTTACTTAACCGACTCGATCTATAGAACCAGTTCTGTTTAATATGAACCAAAGATACCAAGACTTCACAGATAATCTCTGATATATAACGTTTGATTAAAATCTAGCAGAACCTAGATATATTTCCTTCAATACATAGAAGCTTGTATTTCATTCTATAATCGTCCGTCATTATTGTGACTGTGTTTAAGATAATTTGTATAAACGAGGCCAAACATTCCGTTCGACTTACATTAATTATTAGCAATCGGCTCCGAGTCGCTTGAAACTATTTGTCCGCATGTTCTTTGATAGGTGATAACACAAACAATGAACATCGGCTGGAGATAGCTATTGTTACCTCGACCTCTATTTGAACCTGGAGATGTAAAGACAATTATTAATGTAGGAGGATCATTAGGGTGCGTTTAATGTAGGTGACACTCATTATACTAAGATTAAGACGACCTTCTGATTGAATACAAATGTTGTTTTTAAATATAAATGGAAACATTTTAAATAAAGTATATAGTGTATATATCATATGTGAGAGGAATTATTTTTAATTTTTATTTATTTTTAGAGTTCTTAAAGTGATGACTGATGAGTATCAAACTTTGTCAGTTTAACCGAGTAATTTGATACGATCACAATTCACAACTATGAAGCGAGTCGGTTTCATGTAAATTATGACTTATGATCAATACATTAAAGTTTTATTAATTAATAATTTATATTTCGTATGATTTATTATAAAAACATGGATATTTAGATATTATTGATTTATGATCAACCAGGCTTCAGTCGTTAATTGAGATGGTATTAAATCAAATATATTGTCCACCTACATATATATGTATATATATGACATAATAATTTTTAGTAATGATCTGTAATTCATATTAATACGTTTACAGATATTCCTATAAGAAGAAGAATTCCTAAGTATTCGTTAGCTCATACTAAATATTATAATTAATTAGTTATTTGTCCCGCTCCTTATCTTGGTGGATTTAAGAATTGTTTTAATGAATAAATGAATAATGTGAATAAAGAAATTTGTTGTATATATAGTGTGTTAGGTGGATTCTGTGAGGCTTCTATCTCACTAGAGTTACACGACTATGGAATATATTATATATATATAATTCTGTCATCTAAACTACATTATTGGAAACATTCGTTAAATCACGTTAGTCGTTTTCAAGTTAAAGAATATTCTTTTAAATGCATTTATAATACTACGAGTAGTAGGACTTTGTGAAACAATACATCAGCTGACTTTACAGTTGCATTTAGACAAGACTTTTTATATCGGACTTTTAAAATGACTTCTACATTTAACTCAAGTTTGTATTCGCTATGACCACATCAGTAGAGAGGTGTTATGTTTTTAACTACATTTAAATGTTCAAATGGCGAAGTAAAGTGTGTCAAGAAACGGTCTGTGTGTCTGTGTGTAGAGACCGGCCCGAACGTGGACAGTCGGTCGGTTTAGGCTCAAGGAATCCGTATTAATATTACTGTATGTATTGATATTAAAGGAAAAATATTCTTTTTACTTACACATACTTATATACAACCTAGTTCAGATTAGGCGAGCCTCGTTTGTTTTAGGTATTTCAACCTAAACTGGGTGTTTTGATAAAATATTGGAAATTGTAACAGAAAAACGCTAAGACGCACTTGTTCTAGATAAATATTTTTGTTTATATCTCGAAATTCTTTATAAGTTATAAGTTAATACCTATATATTAATATTCTATACAACATTGTTGGTCCATGTCTGTTAATACTTCACATAGTATGTTTTCAATGAGACAGTACTTTATGACTCCAAGTTCATAGACTGAATTAGAATGTTTATAATAAAAAAATATTTCAAAAACCGTTTCAGTACCTACTAACTATTATGAACGAAAAGCCTTACATTGCATTAATCGTAGTAGTGTCTTCATATGAATGACACACGAGTGTGAACTGTTTACTTGTTGTAGTTATTTTCTTCATTCATCCTCGTCATATCCGCCTCGTGTCTCCTGTAGGCTGTATTCGTCAGTCGGTCGGAGTAGCTCGAGCCGGCCGCCCGCCCTCACCAGCCCTAAAGCCTCGCCCGCCCTCGCGAGTTTCCGCCTTGAGTTGCGAGCTTCTTTACGATACAAAACAATGTGATTAGTTCAGTGAGATGAGCAACTTGTTCGTAGTCTTAAGATTGTTATTCATTATTTGTTCAATAAAAAATATATAGTATAAATTAAATTAGTTGTTTGTAAAGTCATTATTGAATCAGTGTTGTGATAGTTAGACTGGAGAGAGGCTCTGATAAGGTGAGTGAACTTCGTATTTACTGGGTTTATTTTCGTTAGTATTTTTAAAGAAATTTTACCATATTACTTGACTTAGGAAAGTATAAAAAATACATTTTTTTAAAATCACATAGTAATTATTTTTTATATGTTTAGAGTTATAAGTTGATAGGGACGTGTTCCGTGTTCTCTAATAATAATTAGATCTCATTGTACGTTACTATCTAAGACTTCAACACATAATACATATAGAAGGTTACTTTAACGTTATGGAAGTATATCCGAATTAATATATTTACCTAATACCGTAATTACTAGATAAGTAAATCATTAAGTAAGACATTTAATGGTGAATATTATTTTACTGAATTGATTGGTCCTTTGAATCAAAAACTTTATTTTTATTAGATTTCAAAGCTTCATCTAAATTCATTTAGTACTCTTTTATTAGATTCTGGTTCCTTATCATAGTACCAGCCTTAGAATAACGCGTTCGAGCCAAAGAAAATATTAGTTCATAAAAGACGAAGCTATCAGAAAAAAAAAGGAAAGACATACATATATGTATGTACTTTATTAGTTTAAGTATTTTTTAATACCCTGAAGGGTTAAAAGTCATTTTCAATTATGGATTCTACATACTTCTCTCACTTTCTTCACTTTGCTCTGACTTCATTCAGTGAATTTTTATTAAGTAAACCATATTACCTGGAATCATCCTGACTAATTGAAAATATCACACTGACTGACGACCGTATTTTAAATAAATAAAACGTGAAGAAAAAATATCCTTTAATGTTTATTATCATAATATTGTGTTCCAACAATATAAGAAGGAACAGATAATAGTGTAATGCCCACTGTGTGATACACTCATTGACATACGTCCTACACACACAGACACAGTGCTGACTGAGAGTATATTTGCATTACTAACGAAGTACAGTATAAGGCAGCTGGCTCACTGATTAAGATAATAATATAACTAATAAGTATGGAGCCCATAACGACTCACTTAGAAGTCTTTATTTCGTTTTTGGATCATTTAGGCCAACATGTAATTCAGATTTGATGTGAAATAAATATGAACTAATGAACTAAACTATATACCAATAAGAAACACTAAAACATAATGAACTTCCTTGAAAATGTAAGTTTTATCAGGTTTTTATTTTTCATTTTAGTAGACATAGAATAAATATGAGTGCATAAAAAACTCGCTCCATGTAAGGAGGATGTTTGTTCTAAATAGTCAAGGTGAATGAAAAAACGTTAAATACGATGTAGAATATGACGGAGCAAAAACTATGAAGTATATTGAAGTAATAAACAGACACGGGAGGAATCGGTTGAGGTGACATAATGTAGCTTGGAAGATTGTGTGTGCGTGTGTGCGTGTGTGTGTGTGTGTGTGTGTGTGTGTGTGTACATGTGTCGCTCGCGGGTTACTATTAATACTAAACCAAATATAGAGCTTACAATAAACAACGCCGCGTTAAATCCGTCGCGGATGCTGGAGCTGCCTTTCATCTCGCGGCCACACTCGACTCACTACTCGCCTGCTAGGACACACAACCAGTACTCGATCTAGTCACATATAAAAAATATAATACATTCTATTTTGCTCAATATTAGTAATATTTTATCTTGAGTTTTGAACAAAACATAATAAGTCATGTGTTCTATTTCCTGGTGCCAATAAAGCTTAGAGTTGCATACATATTTGTACAAGGAATTCCTTAAATTCAATAGTTATTTAATACTGATAATATTCGGTCGAGTATGTGCCTAGTGGCTGACTCGCCTCTCGCTCGTTCGTCGGTAGCGGAGGCTGGTCAGTGTGTTCATAACTCACGAACCAGCGGCGGTACACCGGATACTGGACTGTTTGATACACACACGTACAGAAACATGAACATTATATATACAGGAACATACGGGGGGCGGTAGTAGTGTTACAATGATGTGGAGAAATATTAAGAAACGAGGTGTATAAGGGAAGGTACGGAGATAGGTATTAAGGTCATAGAAACTCAAAGAAATGTATATATTATTGATACAATACTACACCATCACTTGCTCTTCATATAACATTTATATCGTATGTTTCCTTATGATTAATTTTAAAGCAATTTTCATTTTAATAATCTTATAGATGTAACTCTCACAAAATTAAAATACCAAAACTAAATTTTAAGACTTATTTTTCATTGTCAGTTAGTTTCATATACTTAACCGAGTAAATCTCCTAATTAAAACCAAGTGTCATCATTATATTAAATATTATTTTAGTTACTTTAGTTTGACAGTTTCCTTCCTGGGTCATACAAATCCATGTATGTATATGTCCAAATAACGTCATGTGTAGTTGAGTGTGTTTTCAAACATCTTATTACAACGAGGCCGCGGCCTGGGTCCAGGTGGGACTTATGATACTTTGAAACTGTTAGTTTAAACTTTAACACAACTACCTGCCGACAGCTACTTGATGATTAAAACTTGTCTCGCTTCAACGACGTTCATTAACAAGTTAAATTTTCAGTTCGTAATTAACAGAACCGTTCAATATAACAGTTTATTATAGACATTAAGTGTACAGTTAGTATTGACGGGTCGGCGTTCAATACAACATGATGCGAATTGAGGAACGGATAAGAGCAATCTCACCAAGATGATTCAACTCAGCATCCCTCCAACCCTTCAGATGACGGCGCGTATTCAACAGGAAACCAATTCCGTTTTTCACTTTATGCAAAACGAACGATTTTCTATTAAGATAACGCCCGTTATTACTCCTCGTCAACATACTTTCGTGACAAAAAGCTGACACTTTGAGATATAACTTTTAGTGGTTTTCAACGTTTAGAAGTTACTGAAGTTTACCATCAACGATATTGAATAATTTCTAAGTGGATCTAAAACATGAGAATGTTTATAAACATCATTTTAATAACGAAATATAAAAGACATATGACAAAAAGAGATAAACGACAGTGATAGAGTTAAGTTTCTATTGAAAGGTTGTTTATATAATTCCAGTTTTCCATTCTCAACGTCTCAAAGTTCTTCACGGCCTGTATAAATCATGATAGCGCTAACATATTTGGTTGTACTTCGACAGTTCACGACAAAACAATGTCCTCAACAAACATACATACAACAGAGAGGAGATTATACATTCATTGAATCAATATAGAATATTCAATACTAACTATGTTTATATTTAATATACATACTTGAATGTATACAACATTCAGTCAATAAAAGTTGCTAAAATCTTAAGAAATAATACTCGATGACTTAAGGAAAGAGTATTTAGGCTCTAATTTTTATCAACTATGTTATTATTTTAATCATTCATATATAGGTTTAACTTTGTCATTGGATAAATGAAAACATTTTATTAATTTCACCTTTATCTTAGCATTGCCTTTAGCTCATAGTGTTATAACTTCGGAGAAAACAGACTTACTTACTCAACAACATTATTAAATAATTAGTAACACAAATCATTTTATAATATAATCAAAATATCGTTATTTATTATTTTAGAGATTAAAAATTACATTTAGTTTTATATTCTTAATAAAATTTATTTCATCTAGTGAACTAGTTATAATTTAAGATAGAGTTTTATTTAAATATACGTACGTAACCACGGGATGATTGTAATAAAAAATGAAAGTCCTATACAGATAAATCATAAAAAACTATTGACATAATATAACAAGTTGGAGATCCTTCTGAGGATAATCATTCTTTATACAACATACTCTTATATTTCAATCATGTTCTTTCGTTATTTTCATTCGAGCTGCTGTATGTTAATTTGATATATTTTTTCAGGTAAGTCGCAGTAATTAATTTTGTCCGTTCGTCATAATACATGCGCGGACACGTCTCGGAACAAGACGTGGGATGAGAGTACAACAGATCTGTGAGTTACATAGTATAATATACATTATATATTAAAGAAGTTATATTAAAAGACTATACAAGTAAACTAAAAACAATTTTAAAGTTCATAGAAAACTGAAATTATGCTTATTGTGTCTGTGTTTTGTCAATAAACTATCTCTATAAAGATAAAATTTTAAAGAAATGATAAACATAAGTTATTACGGATAACTACAAGAAGCTATTCTAATAGTCCGTTCACGCAGAATTAATAATATTTCCACGACTTTACACGGTTTTTATACAAGTACTAAAGGAGAGGTTCGCATGCGATGAGTTGTAACATCACCGGTAAATTAAATCTGTTTAGTGTATATATAATAGTTTGTCCGTATGTAGCTGTGATCGTGAACATCGCGTCACACACTAAAGCTCGCTGTTTCTCGGAATACAGTTTTTCTTACATTGACAGATGGTACAGGGCTCACAATGCGCATATTAATGACTGTTCAACATCAGAAACGTTACTTCTTATATATATTTACTGCGCACAGAATGAAGCTTCGATTTATGTGATTTGATTAAGAGCTGGAGCTACCACTTTACGAGGGTGGGTTTATAACAACAAAATAAAAATAAAGTGACCCATCTAGAGCTGATGGAGAGAAATATATGATGTGGTTGCAGGAAACCACGATGTAAGTGAACCTTTTTTCGGGGCGTGGGAAATGAACTGAGAATTATAAAAAAGTAACCCGTTTTATTTTTTCTTGTAACTTAATTATTGTAAAATGAAGTTAAAGTAATCAATATAGACGAAAAACAGGCGTTCCAGAAGTCACAAGGGTAAGTTCTGCTCGCATCGATATATTTATCATTATATATTATGAAAAATATTTATTAGTTCTTGTTACATAATAATGTTAAAACGCGTGTTAAAAACAGCTAAAAAATATATTATTCAGATATTGAAAAGGTCTCTAATAATATCTAATAATATAATAGCTCTACTAAGAGCTTTTAACTTTATAAATACTCTGGAAACGGTTGTAATGTATGTAATAAATTGTCCTCAATTTATTCTCCATATATCGCAAAGAGATGAAACAGAGGATTTTTATAAAAAATAATCTTTGTACAAATATTATTTTGAGATCGAATATGACTTATATAACCCTAACTTTTGACCACGTGTTCGTTTGAAGTTTACAACACTCGTACAGCTACCTATAATGTTTTCGCAACACATCGCCAAGAACACTCTCAAAATGAATAATTTTCCCCAGTTTTATCTAACATTTCATTGATACTCCCTCTCCCTCTCTCTTTCTTCCTCTATGTCTCTCTCTCTTCCTCTTCTATTGGTCGTAACGTGTCTAAACATACAATGTAACCTGCCTTTATAAATCTGTTTATATAGCGATTAAAGAAATTCGCGAATTAAAGGAAAAATTGAAGCTTTAACGAAATAGAGTATTATTTTATAACATTAGTGAGCATTGTCTGGAATTTCCTTCTACGTTTCAATGAATTACTTTACTTGCGTATCACTGAATTTGTACTTTTTGTTCCTGTAGAATGCGGAGACCAAAAATCAATAATGCATTTACAAAGAGCAATAAAACTTGCACACACACACTGACACACACACACACACGCACATAATATAATCCAAATTATAATAAAGAGGGTGGGACAGTGCAAGTACAATTATATACTTACAATACGGGGATACTGTAAAAACAGTTGCGTGGAGTGCGTACGTAAATATATTAAAATACACGAGTAATATACAATACAGACATAAATAATGATTAAAATACATGGTCGATACAATACAGAACTTGTCAATTATAATGGAGTTTTGTCTTTGTATTGTTAATTATAATATTGATGTTTATAACAACAATAATGCTGATCATTGCTATCTTTTTTTAGCACCTTTATATAGTGTGTGTGTATGTGTGTGTGTGTGTGTGTGTGTGTGTCTGTCTGTTTGTAGTAAAGTTCGTAACAGTGAAGGTCACGTGGCGTGGTATGAATGAACGAGGGCGCCGGCTACCGTCCGACCGCGGGACACACGGCACACGGACAACACACAACACACACTCAACACTTAGAATTAAATATTGAATATTAACATACTGATATAATACTATACAGTTAGTGCTTCTTTGAAACTGGGACACTACAGAATTAAAATTTGAATTATATTTAATAATTTCACTGTGTCATTTTTCCGTGAAACGTCTTGTAATGTTAACTATAATCTTATTCATTTCTAATAATATTTATACATTCAGATAAGTTCAATATTTCGAGCTTGTATTACACTAACAATTCCTTAGTAAATGTGTTGAAAGCGTTAGTAGTAGTATAGTTGGTGGAGCTGGTTGTCCGTGTGTATCGCGTGAGGGCTGGAGCCCCGAGCCCCGCTGCAAGGTTATGTTAGTGCTGAACGTGGTCGCGGCGCGCGGGGACGCCTGACACCCTGGACTTGTTATAGGAAGTTAGTGTTGTGATCTGTTAAACTATCCACTCATACGTAAATAGTGATATACATGACCAATGTGTAGTGGTACAAGGAACATGGTCGTTCACGTGTTAATATATAACATATATTATATATATAAACATATTACAATATGAAGACGTAACATACAAACAGTCAACATGATATTTAAATGGAAACTTACAACGATAACATTTGTACAGTTCATTTTGATCGTTTGTTTATATTGTAGTGTTAGTCTTTTGAGTAGACGGATGTTCTTTTCAGTAGACCCGGTCTGCTGTTCACTTTCTGTGACAGATGTAGAGGCTGAGGGTGTTTACAAACATGCATCGATTTGACATAAAGAGAAAAGCCGCGGACACGATGACGAGCGGAGCGGGAAGCGGGGTCAGAACCGCTTCATGTTATGTGACGGTTATATAATACTATGAAGATATTACACAGTGTATAGTTAGAGAATTCAATTAAAAAGCACAGTGTATATTCTAATACGGATAAAAGTTTTATTAATTAAGTAATATTATCATTTGTATACGTTTACCCCTCTCTGTGTCCTCTACCTCACACAAACACAGAGCGCGCTTGTGTGTGTGTGTGTGGACTTTACTATGAGTCACGTTGCAGACGGGTCTTGCAATACTGAATGAACTGTACGAAAATAAACCTTATATCAATATAAATAGAAACCAAAGCATTACATTGTAGACACGAGATGGGGTTTTCCTAATTTCATTTGGCAGATCAATTAAGCTCTGTTATTAATATAACAGATGTATGAATACTAAGATCATTAACATGGTTTTCATAAGAATAAAGATCATGAAGTAAAATATTATTATATTACATGAAACAGTTATTTTCACGTCAAGCTCCAGACACGTTCAAATTATATTTTAAAATATTCAAATAACAACCGGGTCGTTAAAGTGAAACATAAGTAACGTTAATGTGTTCGTTTTCAAAATGAACATTTTTAATTTGATCTCCAGCAACCCCTACAGAACCAGGGGTCCACGTCTCCCCCCCTGGACGGTCTGTTCATACAACAATCAGTTCAATTACATTAACAGTTAAGTTCATTATTGAATGACTCGGTGTTGTTACACGGTCTACAGAAGTAACTGGGAAAGTTGTCGCTTTTGTTGACGTTACAGTGTTTGATTGTGTTTACAATTATTAAATATTATGAACACGAAGTGGCAAAAACAAAAAAAAAAGATATTTTATTCGACAGGATATTCGTATTATTTGCATTGATTGCTGTATTTCAGATAGATTCATTCTTCAGTTGAAATATATTATATGAAAAAATTAAACACGAGCCACAGTTTTATCTGACTGACTGATTGACGTTCATAATACAGTGGTCACTGGTCATATTAAACATATTTATTATATAGCTAATGACCAATTCTTCTATCCATTATCATTGACCATCATCAGAGTCTCCATGTAGGGTGTCAGTGTGTTGTTCAGTCTGTGTGTATGTCTGTTGTTACCTGTAACGTGGAGGACGATCTAAACGTTCAGTCAGAGTGTTCTTGAGATACATTAACATACGAGACACAAAGACAGATCACATTAGAAACAGTTAGGAGGCTGGCTCTCGACACGAGTGTCTAGAGTATCTGAAGTGTATAGAGTATAGGATGTCATACACCGTGTTTACAGTGTCTGCGGTCTCGTGACACTCTGTCTCAGGGTTCACGATGTACAATGAGATTTCGATTTACTTTTATTAATTAAATTTTCATTTAAACTGTCCTTTATCCGAATAGTATAACTTCATTCTTAAAATGAAAATAGTTTGTAATTTTGTTCACTAAGACATAAAATGAATTTTTAGTATCGATAGATATTTTTAGATTTGGTTTTCTTTATATTTTTATGGTTTAAATAATCTACTTGATGCTCAACAGTAACCAGACGCATATTATAGATCCTTATTGGTAATGGATAATGTTTGCGGGGAAGTTATACGACGTACGTGTTGCGTGAGGGTTGAATCTGTTAGGAGCACCGGGAACGGAACGAGGTGTTTGTAAATATATGGTTCATAAACAATCACATACTAACCAGAAACATACAGTCTGTTCTCTGATAAAAATAAAATATATACTATTATATACAGGGTGACTGGTGAATTACTATCGATATTTAAGGAGAATACTCGGTACATGATTCTCATTCGAATTATGTAAAAAAAATAGGTACTTAATTTTTGACCAAATTTCCGTATAAATAAATAAAGTGTGTACACGTTCCAAGTGTTCCGAGTGTGGACGCGTGCGGCGGCGTGCTGATACAACAACACGGCGCGCGCGCGTATGTGTGAGTGTGTGTGTATACCTAATCTGTAGGGTGTTCATACGATGCGTAATTAATTACATAACTTTTGGTTAACTTTACTTAGAAGTTTATTAATATTTATGTTATATTAATTTTTATTTCGTCATATATGATCGTCAAATACCACGTCCTCAAATATCGATAGTAATTCACCAGTCACTCTGTATATTAGTAACTAATAAGTAATATATATTTGGCTGTAGTCCCTCGAACAGCATGTGGTTAATATCACAGCGAGCCCCGCGAGGCGAGCCTTGTATGTTGTATATCTCGCGATCGCATCTTAAGGGGCTAAGATTTATTACCTTCAAACTACTCCTATTATGAATGGATTTAATCGTTTTCTCTCTCTTTCATTCTATAGCATGTGTGAGAGGGACAGCTAGCTATCGATTTCTAAATTCCTTTGTCCCGGATGAGAACAGTCCGAGGGGAAATACGAGTATAATTCAGATACGTTACAGAAGGGCGCAGAATGCATTTTCACGGATTGACGCTCGACTCGAAACCTACATTGTAATTGATACCTTATCGACCGCTGATAAGATTCAATATCTTCTAACACTGCGTCTGAGGTGCCGTTTGTTTTTGCAGATGCTATAAAATTAAGGATGTTTCTTATTTGGAGATCACTAACGAGTGTAACGGTTCATATTGACTGACACGAGACTGTTGTGTGTCTGTAATAACATATGAAGTATACGAGGAGTTACTATCATATAAAGTGTAGTATTCTGAATGATAGAACTTTGAATTATTGGATCAAAGTTTTACAGAACGCCGTCTATTGCTTCTTTGATGATCTTCTTGCTTTTGTCATTCTTGACTATATTTAAGAAGGACTGATGCAAATATATTATTAAAAAACAAATAACATTTTCAGTAATTATATCATTAATAATTGAAATCCAAAATCACAATGTTGAGTTAAAATTGCGTAGCGACCTGACTTCCATTTGAATATACATACGATTATATTTTGATTTAAATAGATAGACATGAAGGAAACGAAAATAAAATTAACAAACTCACAAACAAGAATTATAGAACAGACAGTGTACAAAGTGTGTAGAGTGTAGCAAGTGTTGTGAGTGAAGATGACGGAGCATTGGTCGTGGCTGACGGGGTGCGGGGAGGCGGGCGAGTACACGTACAGTCCTCCGAGTAGACCCAGTAGACCTCCACACAGACCTCTGGTGAAGGTGGCCACCAGCGCTCATCTACACACCATCGCCAGGTGAGTCAAAGATACCTCATGCTTAGTGGAGCAAGAGGAGACGAGATGAGAGGGAGGAAAACTTTCTCGTTGTCATTCTAGATACGAATATAACTGCTATTTATATTAATTAATATTAACAAAATTATAAACGTAATATGGCTATGTTAGGTTTTATTACATTAGCTACTGCTAGTGATAGCTTAGATCGAGCAGACAGAAAGATAGACGAAAATTTAACAATAATTTTTGATTGTATATTTAAAAATAATTTTTGATAGTATATTATATGCTTTAAGTGAACAGCTGTTGAAAATGTATTGAAATGAGAATGAGATTAATATATTTTTATTTATAAAATCAGATTGAACTTCATTTAACAAAGTCAGACGCAACGTTTTCTTATTGATTTATTATTTTTTAGTTTAAGTTACATTTTATATAATCACGTTTCTAACGATCGTCTCAATAAGGGTCCAAGTCACCAGCAGACCTCCCGCCCGACCCGACCTCACCTACACGATATTTGTATTTTCTTTACATATTTTCTTTTGTTTTCACGTCACTTTTCTAATTTTCAGCCTGATGTATCACCGTAATCTGTCTCTTAAAAAGAAATTTACACGACTTTGAACTTTACTACTTGACGATAAAATTCATGTGAAGCATCTACGGGTTGTAAACGTACAGTACATTCCCGTTTTTGCCATTTCATTTAAAAGTGTAGAGCTTTTAAAACAAAACACTCTTCCGATGGTTGAGATCTTAATACGAGGGTGTAAGGTTTATTTTCGCTTGTGTCAGCTGTATTTGTATATCCCTAATAATGTAAAGAGACCAACATATATTTGCACTTGATATTCCGGCCGTACAGTCTCAGAGGATTCTTTGCTGGTGGCAGCAGGACTCGCTGACAGCTTGATGGATGACGGCTCCGTCCTACTAATATTAATATCGACGTACGGTTACATTACTCACGTTTAACATATACTTATTATATATACAATAATGACATACATCAACAAGAGGAAAGGAATCATTAGAGACGATATGGAGGAACTATCAGATGATGGATTTTGAACTATTAAAAAATATATATTATAAATATTATGGCTACAAAAAATATGATAAAAAGATAATTATGTACTTTAAGGCATCAAGATTTTAACAAACATTTCTCTCACAAACAGTGGAATAGCTTTTAACTTTAGAAAATATATTAGGTTCCAACGTTGAAAACTCTGTAGAAAATCGAAACATATTTTTGAAAAACAATTTGGTAATGTTTTGAAGAGTTATTCTGTATATTACCATGCCCTATCTGAACACTGTGAAACAGGCCTTGGATAATGAGAAAATGTACACCTGACACTACAACAAAGAAAATGATTGAGAAATCACATCCTACTGAAGAGCTCGCTGGGGAAAGACAGTGAGAAATGTTGCCACACACACCACGACCTACACATTCTTATCACGTAGAGTTGCCAGGGGAGACATAAATATTTTCCACCAAAATCGCGACCTATTTATATGTAAATTTTTATATTTTTCTATCTCGATACCGCGCTGCATGTTTGTCGCGTTCGGTTTTATTGTTTCGGAGATAATAGGACACAGGTGTGCACCAAATATACTGACAATAGAACGAGCAGCGAGGAGCGCCGACCCTCGCGATTGAAACACTTTGTTTATATCAAGGTTTTATACGAACGGGGATTTGAGGAATTGTCACCGTCTAAACAAGAAAAATTAAATAAAACACGCCGACCCCTTAGTAATTGGCTACAAGAATGTAAAAATATTATAACAAGTATATATAAATACACAAAACCTTCCTTGTTTTGTATGAGTCTAAGTTTTTCCATTTTTCTGTGGAGGTGACAGCCGACGCTCATTACAGTTGACGAATTGCTTCCAGACGCCGTGATAAATGGAACTTGCTTCACTTTGAAATAGTTACACAGCTATCTGACGGAGACTTAATGTTATATAATTGTATTTTGCTTGGAATTTGTAGGCACGGTCCACGCTACATACATACATACATGAGGATATACATAATGAAATGTTTTGATTGTGAGTCGTGATTAAAAAACTTCTAGCTTATTAAGTCTAAAACTATATATGAAATAAAATAAATAATAATAAGTAATTAAGTAACAATAGTTCCTCATAGTTCGTTGTCCTTGTTGATATGAACAACCTGCTCCGTCCTAAGTACAGGTTGTCAGCGAGTGTTTTAATATTTATGTGTAGGAGAGCCTCTGAGATTAAGATCACATCATGATCAATAAGACACTCGCTGCCTCACTCAAACAATACTATAGAACATACAGTAGAACTTGTGATAACGAACTTTAAGAGTCACAAAATAAACACAACATTACTTCAGTTCCCTATCAAAGAACAATTGGGAAATACATATTTTTAGACTTATATAATCATCTATGTTTGATTGATTGTTAAATCCTTATTTGTCAGTTACCAAAAAAAGGATAAATAATTTTTCTTGTACAAAAATCGTTAATGATATCTTTTGACAAAAAATTACGTATTAAAAATTGTATTATATTTATGAATCTCTTTATACCTACTCTGTCATTTTAATGCATCTCTTTCTAATCCATTCCCCTCGATCTTATCACCTCATAATTCAGCTTCTTGACAACTTTCAAATTTATAGATAGAAAACTTTTAATATTTCATAGCTGCGTGAAAATATTTTTATGTGGTTATTATTCATTTTATGATAAAATTAATTTCGATTATAATAATGTATTTAGATAAGAACTAAATATTATAGTGTAATATTATAATATCACATAAAACAAGTTGTATTTGAATGAGAACTTAAAATTTGATATGAATTCCTTGAAGTAAAATTGTTGTACGAATTGAACGGTAAATTAAGTGAGTTTGTTATTCACTAAGGTCTTTGAAATTAAATAAAGTTGATACAAAGAAATGAATCAAGTGAATCGTGTAAAACATTTAATATTTGTAATAAAATATGAATAACATTGTTTTGCTTATATTATTTTGTATTTTTTTGTGAAATCATTGTAAAGTTTATAAAAAAATATACGGTGACATTTCTCGTATAACAGCAGCTACCACTACAATGTTTTTTGTATTGTAGTTGTTGGAAAAACAATGAACAAGACTCTTACAGTTCTTTTATTCCTTTCAAGACTCCTAAGTGCAAAACGCGAAACTTCGTAACGTAACCTTAAAAATATGCTTTTCTTTATTTAAAACTATTTACTTAAAATAAACTTTATATAATTATGTGTATATTTAAATTACATTTAATATGTATCACATCATTTATTTACTATTGAACACTATATTTTGAATCAAGTATAGGGACTGCATTCTTATAAATAGACATTGTTGTTACAAACCTTACATTGAATATTTTCTTCTAACTGTTACAAATCTCCTGAAAATTCTCAATTTGTATCTAGTGTATAGTAGTAGTAAAAGCAAGCGGGGCACTAATAGTATGTGAAAGTGATTTTGCGCTCGATGGACCGCCAAATGAATTACGTGAGATGAAACTCTGATATTCATGACGCTGCTGTTTGGAATTCAAATTTATCATTATATTTATGTTTAATATATGTGGGAGAAAAAATAACACATTACAAAACAATTAAGGTCTTGGACTTGTACTTGGTCAATATGGATGAAATTTTCATCTTATACATATGTATTCTCTTTATTTGGCTTTCTCAAATAAATTTATGTGGAATTCCACTGTCCCTTACCTCTTTTTGCCGTCTTCTTGTACCATTCATGTCGAATCCAAATGTGAAATGCGAACTTTAATCGGTAGAATAGCTTATCAGATGGACAATATTTGCAACTTCAAAAAGAAAAATGAACTAAAATAATGTTAGTTCCTAGTACGCGATGACATGTGTGTAATGTATGTTAGTTATTGAATTAAACTCATACAGCGTGACTCGACATTTAGATGACAATTACGCGATGCTCACAATTATCGAGACGGATGTGAGTTAAACGCAGACCAAAAACATGGAATTAGTCGGTCGTCTCGCTGGAGGAGTAACAAGCATGAGACGTAACCGGTAATAATCAAGATGATAGGATAAGGACGTCATTATAACAAAACATACTCCGATATAATGAAAATAAAACCAAAATTACTTCATTGTTTTAACAAACTTCGCTCCGGTGAATACTATGGCGGTGAGAGGCTTATTGTTGGTGAGTGCTGTCCTGGCGGCCACGTGGGTCGCTGTAGACGGAACGGCCGAGGTGATGAGCCATGTCTCAGCTCATTATGGAAAATCACTGGAAGAATGTCGTAAAGAGGTAAGGGGAACAGAAATTGAAGTAACATTGATATACTACCTTTAGACTGCAGTGATTCCGCCAGGCATATATTGTTTTTGATCTGCCAGACAGGCCTCTCCAAAGAAATCCTCGAAGACTTCAAGCACTTCTGGAGCGATGACTTCGAGATAGTTCACCGTGAGCTCGGCTGCACCCTCATCTGCATGTCGAATAAATTTGCACTCTTACAGGATGATGCAAGGATGCATCACATTAACATGAACGACTACGTTAAAGGGTTCCCCGACGGTAAGAACAGTTTGTTTTGAATCAACTTAAAGAACACAACATAACCACGCGCTTTTTATTGAGAATTTAGATGGACTAGTCAAAACTTATTCCATCCTACTGACTTTATAGGTGATGTACTAGCGGACAAGTTGGTACAAATGATGCACAAATGTGAGAAGGACTATGACGATATTCAGGATGACTGTGACCGGGTGGTGAAGGTCGCGGCCTGCTTCAGAGCTGATGCTAAGAAGGAAGGAATCGCCCCAGAGGTCGCTATGGTAGAGGCCGTCATGGAACAATACTGAACCTCCTGACCTCTTAGACTTGAACCCTGGCTCGCCATTATATGATTATGATTCCGCTCTCTAGTTCTTAAATTATTAATAAAATAATTGAATTCTGCATCATAGTGTTTTCGTGTTTATGAGCGAGCTACTTTCTTACACATTACATCCCATATCAGAGACTTACGTAAATTCCAGTTTTCCATAAACGTTAAACATTTGCCTTTTAAAATATGTAGGCGCTTATGAAAACTAAATATTTAAGTTATAAAATCTTGCTTTTACCATAAGCCATCGCGGAGTATAATTATAAAATATTGCACTTTTTGCAGTGTACAGTACATTAAACATTATACATTATAGGATATAATATTAATGAATTCTTTCACCATATATGGAATCTTTATTAAACTTTTGTATAAAACTAAACGAAACATAAAATTTTAACGTCTTTAATATGTAAATAACATCTCTAAGACTTTATATTCACAGTATGATGACTTTAAATATAACTCTAGGGAAGGTTGTTACCTTTAAAGAAGAAAATTAAAAAGTTATAAATTAAACGACAATAAAGTTAATGAGCTTCTTAAGGAACAGGCGGAACGTTAAAACAGGACTTCGACATACCATCAATTATTTTAATGTATTACTTTTTTAGGGCAGACAATAAAATGGGTTTTAAAACTTTATCTCCCATTTGCTTTTAATTTTATTTGATCAGAATGTGTCTCGATGAAGTCTCATGAACATTTTAATAATGACATGTAATTGTGTTTTGATAATATTTCATTTCATCGTCTGATATATAAGTCGTGCTCCTATCCACTGATTCAGTGATTACATCTTTATTTCGATGTTCGATAATCATTAAGTAGCCCCAATTATCACAGTAAGTGCACTCAGAGACTTGAGGTATATAATCAAGTCGTCATTACCTTACAATATATTTAGTGTTTTAAAATATTAGATTGAACGCCTTCACACAGTCACGAGTTGTGATTATTTTATTAAACATTATGAATTAGTTTGTCTACAATGTCACCCAAACCTCGTATGTGAGTATCACCTCTCCCTCCGTGTGTGTGTATGTCGTAATTTCAATATGTTTATGATGCGTTCTGTTGGTACACACTACACAGTGAGTCGCGTGCACTCGCATACAGATGCAGTAATTAACAAAACAAATCGCTTACATCACACCACACTATACTATAGCACGCGGAACTGGAAAATCAATTTGAATGTCAAGATTAGAGAGCTTGTACATTAACATACATACTAGTCCAAGAGCCCGGGGCCCCCAGACGTTACTTATATTCTGAGTAACGAAAAGTATCGTACAGAGTAGTGTTAGGGTATACGTTGAAGGTACGCATACCTGCTAACTTGGGCCGACGGCCAATTCACAGGTACCAGGTGCTAGAGGTACATAAAAATATTGGTCACTTTTCTTATATTCTGAGAGCTGATTATTATATTTTAAAAAATTCAATTAAAAATTTAAAATTAATAGTGCCCGAACGTTTTCGTTGGCGGTAATTTCCGCCAGACGCTTTAAAGTTTGGAAAAAAATAACCTATGTTTACTCAAAGTCTGAGTCTTGATTTTTATATATGATATTTTAGAAACTATTTTAACACTATTTCTATGCAGCCAGAAAAATTCTAGGGGAAAAATATCTCCCAGACATATTTAAAACTCGCCATGAGTATTAACGCGCACATAATATTTTCGCGATTTCTATCACAGGCCTGTTGAATTTATGTTTTAGTTCAGTTTTGTAATTTTTTTAAATAATAATCAAACCATATTTTAGCGCGCAATTACAAATTATAAATTTCAGTATGATAAAAATTATTAAGTTATGAGTGGGAAGGTTCGTACGAAAAGTAATAAAAAAAATAATTTTGTTACTAGCATTTTATCCTGGAAAAAATATTTATTTGTATTTTTCTACAAAACATAGAGAAATATGTAGAGCAAATATTATAAAAAAATATTTAAGATAAATTACTTTCTTTATTAATAATTAAATTTTAGTTTTTAATATTCGTCATCGTCATCATTGGTAGGATATTTGAGATACCTATTTGAGAACTCGTCATCCAGCCAATTATTGTATTGAGTCTCTAAGTCATCATCATCATCATTAATATCAGTATTACTTGTTTCTGTCTTTGTAAAATCAAATAAAATATCGTAATTATGAGTAAAATAGCTACACATTTATAAAAAAAATTAAAAAAAAAATCTAAGTTTTTGTCAAGCGATTCACTGACGGTAACTGGTCTCCATCGAACCAATTAAATTGATATCGGTTGTCTTCTAGCTTCCATCCGTTAATCTCTGGTCTCATCAAAGTTTTTAATATTTTTCCGGATGAACTCTTCATTTACATCAGAAGCAGTATAGGTGTTGATAAGCTATTAAAGTCTTGCAGCATCTACATCAATGACTCCGGCCACGTTATAAACATTGCAAATAAAGTTTTGAATGGTATTGAAGCTTTCTTCCTCAAGTTCACTATTACTACTGAATAACTCCAGATCGCTAAATCTGGAAATGGCTTTTAGGTACTCTTCGTTTTTTCTAAGAATACTGAATGGCCTTTGTTTACCTTTCTTAAAAAAAGCAGGATTGTAATCACAGCCAGTGATCGCATGAAAGCCTGGTAAACTTTGAGATAAAGACGGTTCTTATTCCTCGTAAATAATAATGATCTTATGCATACTCATGGCGAGTTTTAAATATGTCTGGGAGATATTTGGCCCCTAGAATTTTTGTGGCTGCATAGAAATATGTAGTGTTAAAATAGTTTCTAAATTATCATATATAAAAATCAAGACTCAGACTTAGAGTAAACTTACATTATTTTTTTCCAAAAGCATCTGGCGTAAATTACCGCCGACGAAAACGTTCGGGCACTATTAATTTTAAATTTTTAATTCAATTTTTTAAAATATGTATAAAAATCAGCTCTCAGAATTTAAGAAAAGTGACCAATATTTTTATGTACCTCTAGCACCTGGTACCTGTGAATTGGCCGTCGGCCCAAGTTAGCAGGTATGCATACCTTCAACGTATACCCTAACACTACTCTGTACGATACTTTTCGTTACTCAGAAAATAAGTAACGTCTGGGGGCCTCGGGCTCTTACTCTATACGGTCATACAGGCTCTGTTGTGATTTGATAGACGCCACTGAAAACGTTTGGTACATACACATATTGTCAAAAATTTGAAATGTGAAACAATAAAAAGCCTTCATTGGTTAATTTAATAATGTCTGTAATAATGTTGAAAATATTTATTCTGTCTATTTTTATTCGGTCCGTACATTTAAACAAGGACGTGATGAAATCCCTGAGTTATAAGTTTGGAACGAAACTATTTGAGTGCGGAGAAAAGGTAACTTTGAAATAGATTGTTTATAATTATCATTCAGCTTCAATGAATGTGTTCTCACTTATGTAACAGTATTTGTCCTGTGTGCGATATTAATATAAATTGCCACTAATTAATGATAGGGAGAACGCAAATGATAACTTTTACCCATATAAAATTTATTTAGGATTTGATAATGTATTACAGAAACTAACATTTAGGCATTCTAAAAGAAATATAAATTATGAGGTATCTAATGTATATAAAGTTATTTACAAACCCGGAATGAACAAAATCGCTGGAAAAATTTATTAAAAGTATAATTGATGTACTGAACTTAACATGAATGTTTGAAGACGAACTACACTCGCGCCATGGCTCGTGACATTCTGCATATTTGGGAACAGTCTTACGATCTTACCCACGAGGAGACTGGGTGTTTGGTTCTCTGTGCAATGGTGAGGTTACATCTCCTGGACCAGCAGGGAGACATGGTCGAGGAAAACGCGGAGGGATTTATAAGAGCTAACGGCGGAGGTGACAAACATATTATTAGAATATTAAATAGTTACTCACCGGTTTATGATCCAATGAAATACTTTTTATTTCATCAGATGACTCGGTAGTGTCGTTCCTCGTACAACTCTATACCATGTGTCGTGAGAAGACGTCATCTATTGTTAAGGGATGTAAGGCTGCTCTTGAGTTATCCAAGTGCTTCCGAGCTGCCATCCAACAAATAGGCTGGGTACCGGACACAACCTCCCTCTTGGTCGAATCAAATGATTAAAGGATACATTTTAGAATAATGTTTAAAATAGTAATTATGTTAAATATCTTAATTTATTATGATTAAAAGCAATTGCTGTTTACTAAATAACAAGTTTAGTTTTCTTATATGAATCTTTCATTGAATATCGAACTACTCTACTAACTACCGCCTGATGTAGCAATCTTGTTACACATACGTCGTGTCTCTGAGTGATGACTGACACACATAGTCACGTAACATATCCTCAATCAGACCGAGCAGGAACATATAATTATTAAGTTAATGTTACAAGCAATTAAAAAATAATAAGTGTTTTTAATTTTTTAACAACTGGTTATCATTTAACTGGTCAATTACTGATCACATCGAAGTAGCTTTAAAAGACAAACGCTAATACCAGCGTTACATTTCATGTTAATCAGAATAATGAAGAGATCATATTGTGTTTTCGTAATAGCTCTTATTTTTATAAACGTGCGAGAAATAAAATCAAATGAAGTCATGAAAGGCATAACGTCGAGTTTCTTTAAGGTGCTGGACGAATGTAAACGTGAGGTAATTTTTAGTTATTTATAGGAATTATATTAATATAAACTGTTAATTAACAACTCTGTATCATTGCATCAAGCTGAGTCTCACAGACAACGTGTTGACTGATCTCTATTACTTCTGGAAACAAGATCATCCGTTGATGCATCGTGACACTGGTTGTGCTATCGTCTGCATGAGTCAGAAGCTAAACCTTCTTGATACAATAGGGAAGCTTCATCATGGCAATGCTCAAGAGTTTGCTGTCAATCATGGCGCTGGTTAGTGACTGTGCTAACGTTTGGTTTACCCATTACATTAGCTAGTTAAAAGGTTCTATGTTGTTTCTACTTTTAGGTGAACAGATGGCCAAAAAGCTGGTAACAATGGTTCACGAATGCGAACAGCAGTTCATGGAGCAGGAGGACGCCTGCCTGAGAGCTCTGGATGTAGCCAAGTGCTTCAGAACAGCCATGCACGACGTCAACTGGGCACCTAAATTTGATGTTATTGTAACTGAAGTGCTCACTGAAGTGAAGTAATATGTAATGGAATATAAAAATCTATAAATAAACAAAATGTTTTTGTATGAAAAACCTTTAATTAAACTATGATATACTAAATAATTTTATAAGCAATCAAAAATATATATATGTATCTAGATTCTAGAACATAACTATTGCAAATTAATTAATTATTTGATAACACTGACCTTTGGATTAAATTAATAATTAATATGTCCAGTTACTTTTAAACAGATTCATGCTGGTTTTGTAAAATTTTATAATTTTTATTTTTCATTTGAAGAGAGACATAATTATATTGCGAAATTGTCTGTTTTGATGTTTATAAATTCGTGATAGTTGGACATAAATAAACAAATATTCTTTAGATGAGGAACTTTTATTTGAAATTTAGTTTAAATACACCAAAGAGACTTTAACTTTTGTTACTGAGGTTGCAGTACAGGTTTGTTATGTATATTAGCTAAAGCACGTTTCACGGCTAGGAAATAGACTGATCAAGGGCACACAACGGGGCTTAATTGAGGTTTGATGTTAGATCGTAAATTGGAGACGATCCGAACGAGGCATTGTCGCTACAGATTTATGGTGGATTACCGCGTCACCAGTGACTTACGAGCCTGGTTTAGGACTGAGGAGTTTTAAACTGGCATGACACCATACATTACCCTACCATTGAGGACGATTAAGGTGCTTAGATGCTCGTTAATAGGCTTTGTGTTTTTATAGATAAAACTCTGTTAGCTTGATAAAACTTAAAATGTTAGATCGTTCTACCTTTCAGTAACAATCGTAACTTAGTTTCACGACAAATGAAAACTGAATTCTATAAAATAAATGGATGAACACACAGATGTGTTTCATCCCGGGAGTCGAGAATAAATGTTAGAGCGAATCAAGAGACGCACCTGGGTTCAGATTGCTTTTATTGTTTACTTGTATTATTGTTACGTGCGGCGAGTACCGAGTGAGGAGCCCGCGTGCGGCGAATTGGTTTACAAACATACGAATTGTTTATCACTCTGGGAAAACACTATCCCCGGCTTTATACTTTATTTATATTCATTTAATTATAAATGTAACTTATATTAAGAGAAAAGGTTAGCTTAATGCAATAAAATATAAACAATTTAACATATAAAATCTATTTATTTTGTATTTTCCACACCCTTTTAAACATAAAACTAGGAGAAGCCAAAACAGAAAGCTATCACTGTCGGGAAAAGCGCAACATTAACATTCGTCATTCCTAAAACGTAGCCGTGTTGTTATTAAATAATAAAAAACTATAAGAAAATAAAAGTTTTTTCAAGAAGGAAGTCTAATTCCTTCACTTAACGTTGTTTACATATTTGTCGTGTTCGTTATATTAAGTCTCAATCATCAATTCTTCTAGTATGGTCTCCATCGAAGGCGCCCACTTCAGCTCGTGTATCTTGGTGCGGAAACATTTGGATATCTCGAGGGTCTTGGAGCAGTCGTCAGTGATATCCGTGAACTGTTTCTCACAGTCGTGTATCATTTGTACCAACTGCTTGGCCAAGTCGTCGTCTGTGAGAACATACATACATACATTATTTATGTGATTCTAAGAAACTACGAACTCTTACCTATACTTAAATCTTGTTAATGTGCATGTATATACTATGTATATATTAAATTCACAATTCATACGATTTATTCCTGTTTCTTATTAAATTTATAACAAAATTTAATTTTATATTTAATATTATAATTTCATACATATTCTATGAAACAATTTTCATGTCACTAGCGAACACTAGAAGACATAAAGCATACGCGCATACACAAAAATAGTTTAAAAACCTGTTGTTTGATAAATCATGAGAGTTCAAATCGTTATTAAGTTCCTCCTGTCGTTCTACTCAGCCTCACCTGCTCCATGGCTCTTGGCGAACTCGTGCGCGTTCTCATGATGTATCTTCATATCCTCAGTGACCAGGTCGTGTTTGGACGCCATGCACATGATGGCGCAGCCCGTGTCTCGGTTCAGTAACTCGTACTCCTCGCGCCAGTAGTTCATGAAGTCTTGGATGATGTGATCGCCCAGGTTTAACTGGAAACAAGAGTAGAGAGGGGCAATAAAAAAGATCTTTTTTAAATATTGAGTTGTTGAAGTCTGAGAATTACTTGTTACTTATTTAAATAGTACACAGAATATATTAATGTTGCTAACAAAGACTTTGACTACTACTAGTATGATAATAACATTTCAATAAGCTTAGTATCATGAGATATGTTCTATATGGAATTGAGAATTCTCTATAGTCTAAACTTACTTCTGCCTTACACTCCTCCATAGCCTTGGCAAAGCCAGTGGTGAGTTTCTTCATGATCTCCTGAGAGGCCGAAGCCCCTGGTGCGAGGCTCAGCACCCCGGCAGCGAACAACAGCCGCCAACAAAACAACGACATACTGAACAATACCTGATCGAGGAAAAAATCTCCGGCTTATATGATGATACAGAAATAAAGTTACATAACAAGTGACACATACACATGGTTCCGGACATAAATTAAAAAGAAAAACTTCGTTTAAACAATATATTGAACGATACTTCAATAAATGTTTACTTTGGCTTGACTTCTTAGTAAAGTTCATGAAAATAATTTTTCCTTTAAAATGTGTGCAATGTACATGTTTCCTTACATTAGTCTTTTTTAAATGATCCCTTATGAGATCGCGTTTCGATTCCTAAAGATTCCTAATATTTCGTATAATTCAGTTTCTTATAATTACACGTGAAGGTAGACCGAGCAGTTTAATAACAGACTATACTCTCTGAAGTGACAATTGAATCCAAGATCGTACTATGAAAATAAAAACCTTCCATGACTTCAAGAAAAATTTTAATTATCGGTTTTTCAAGGTTTTTATGATGAAAAATTGAAAGTTGAAATTAGAAGTAATATGTGACATTATACGTGCATTTATTAGAAGAACACACTTTTAATTATTTAAAAATAAAATTTTACTTTCTGCAATAAATTTCAGGCGTTTAAAAACCCACATCGGTCGTTGTAAATAAAATATAACCAAATGTTAAATAGTAAAACAATTAATCCTCGTCCCTGAGAGGGTGGAGGGTGGACCTGCAGTCTTTTATTTTTATTACTGAATATATTTATGTGCCCACGCTGACACACCTCGCACATACTAACAGTGAGAGGGGATTCTGGACTCGCGTATTACCTAATTGATTTAAAATTAAAATACAATATTTTATGTATAACAAAATGTCTAAACATAAGAAATCGATGGCAGTAGGTGATAAAATAACAAGACCAACTGACAAACACTCACATCTCATCTGCCCGTGATCACGGTTGCTGTAAAGTAACCGAAACGTTGGGAGTATGTAGTTTTTTTTAAAAATAGAGTCGCATAGTACATCCGAAAAATATTAGTATCATTTAAATGTTTAAATATATGCTAATACTTATATCTTATTAGTATCATTATCGTGAGTACATGACACATGTGTCTCCCGAGCTCCAGTGTGTAGCAACCCGCTCCCTGATCACTGTAACATGTTCCTCTCCTGTAGTGTCATTAACAGAGGACTATGATGAAGCAGACTCATCCATTATATGTGTACAGAGAACTCTGTTCATTAAACAACCCATTAAACTGTAAAGTACTGTTCATGAGTGACTTCGGAACGATTTGTATTAATATATCGTATGTGTGACTGTTGATTACATTAAAACATTTATATTATTCCGATAGGAACTTAAACTATAAGTAACGCTCTTGGTTCTATAGTAATTAGATAAGAGAAAATTTATTGTGTCTTGTTATTGATGTTATCAAGGGTAAAGATAGTTTATTGGGGAATTTTCTATGAGGATGTTGAATTAAAGAATTTGGTAATTTTTTTCTTGTCCATCAAAAAAAAACATTGAGACTGTAAGATATCACAAAGCACACAGATTTTCATATAAAAGACTGTTTTTAAGTTACGCTGAACATTCAGTCGTAACTGAGAATAGACAAGTTGTTAATTGATGATGTGTTTACGAGTAGTCACCGACCGCGACCGGAGACTCCGCTCGTAAACTTTATAATATAATAAAGAAAATTACTGTACGATGAAGCTCACCGACTACACCACGATATTAAACAACTGACGGGGAAAGTAATTAATATACAGACTTCCTGACAAACTGACAAACAGAAAAACATTATTGACTAATATGATATATGTAATTAATAATAATAAAACATGAATCATATAATAAATCAGTCGGCAGTTCATTTTACAGCATTTTAACTACTTACGAGTGAGTTGCTGTATATATACATTCCAGCTGGCATAAAAATCCTTATTTATCGAGTTTTATTGTGATTTTGAAATTTAATGATATCTCATGTTCATATTCTATGGACTTCATCTAATTTTTGGATGAACAGTGTTTGTTAAAGCTATCTCTGCAGAGATTGTGATAAGGTTAAAGTTAAATATTACGGTCAAGAACAAATTTTTTTATGTTGTCCAAAGGGGTAAGCGAGCAGACGGTCTACCTGATGATAAGTAGTCACCGTCGCCCATGGACGTCTGCAACATAAGGAGTGTTGTAGATGCGATGCCGGCCTGATAAAATATACAAAGTTAAAGATCCAGAAAACAATCGTTTAGTTCACAAATATTTTATTTCACAAATTATAGCTTTATAAATAGGTTATATAAGATATACAAGAACTTATAGCGTTATATATGTTGTAATTAATTATTACCCGTAGATACTGTTACAGTTATATTAAAAAGAGTTTTAATGAACAAACCTTTATTACTACGGATCACCTAGAATATTACATTATACTATAACATTAAAAATTAACAAACAAGTTACATTATATATAATTATAATTATCCTTCTTCGTCATTTCAGGAGACCAATAAAATACGAGACTAAGGAGATGATAGTTTGGTTTTTGTTAAAATGAGAAAAAAATAATTGTAGCCCTTGATATTGTTCAGATATGGACAAAACTCTCACGAATATACTTAAAAGGAATAAATTATATTTTTAAAAGGGAATAATGTATTTAATGTGTATTATCTGAACTCGTTTGGGTTATTGTTTTAGTAAAAAGTAAAAAATTAAAAGTTTAAGTGTCTGTAATTTGATAATTATAATTTGAATGCATGTTTAGCGCCGGTATCTTTGTAACTCTTGTCATGTTATAAAATATACTAATAGTAAACATTTGTTTCAGGTACACATCTTCTTCATATACATTAAAGTACATTCAATACATTCAAAGATTCTGTTCGCCTATGGATGTGGTAAGTGTGTTATAATTTAAACACACATTAACACACGAATTAATAAACTAAATTGTTTAAAATATTAAACAGTAACGCAAAGTTTAAAAGACACACCATTAAATACATCAATATCGACATTGTCGTCTATCCCGGAGTCCAGACTAATCCCTGCCAATCCCGGATCCCGGATCCCGGACAGCTGCTTGTAACGATGTTATCTCGCGCTGACTGATTGCCACTGATTTGTAAAACTGACCCTTGAGATTGTAAAGCTCTTACTGTTTAGAGAGAACCTTACGATATCACGACTTAAAAAATAAAAATAATAGTATTGTGTGCAGTTACTTCATTAATATTGAAGTTAAGTTTCAACACAAATTATAAATTACTTTTGTTAAGATTGTGCGTGAATAAAGCCTTTGATACTTTTAAATGATGTTACTATAATATAAATTGTTGCAACATTATTACATATATATAAGTATATCAAGACTCCCTTTGTATTGGAAGCCGTGGGACTTCTCTATACCTTCCCAAGTCTATGTAGGTCCTTCAAAAATATAAGTGAACAGTAAGACGTCTAAGACATGTCCCTGTATCTTTATCGGGGTCCTCTAAGACCCTTTCCGTCTATTACTCTCGGCCGTCCATCCATCCCTCTAATGAGGGTCAATCTGTACGTAAAACAAGGGCAAAGTGCTAGTTTCATTAACACTAAAACAACAGAGGACTGCTGAAACGTATTAAAAATAAATGACACTGAAAAAAAATCGACAGAACAAAGCCAGTGAGGTGAGTGTCTTGAACATGTTGGAATATAATGTATCAGATACAAGGAGACATTAACGATCACAGGTGAATGATGACGACAGAGGGTGAGCAGAGGTTTGAACTGTGAACGGTCCCACTTCATATATACTGTTTTAAATGTTCTCCGTCTGTGTGTGTGTGTGTTCATTGAAAACACAATAACCATTGAATTAAACCGACCAATTAAGCAGGAGCCTGACCCTCCGTGAGTTATAGAGCCGATCGTTTTGGTCTACCGTTATAGGAACCGCATTCATTATTGATATTAATACAACTTGTACACTAGTCTCTGACCGCGGCCTCGCTCGCCATAAAACGATAATTAGTACTAATCTAAGACACCGTTGTATCATTTCCCAACGTTTATATGATCCTTTCGAAATGCTCCCTGGGGTGTGATATACCCTCTAAATTTTATAAATATATTTAAAATAATGCCCATCAAGCCATACTGAAACAAATTGTTGGGTCAAGCTCCAGAGGCATTCTAGAGTTTCTCTTCAGGCCTACAGCGACTTTAAATGAAGTAGGTTCATAAAGAAACAATTACAGTAAATTATATATCCCTGAAGTATCGACACTCATTCTGTTCTATTGTCGAGTTAACAAGCCGGCGAGGACGAGAGATGAACAAGGAATTATCATAAATATGACGAGCACAGTAACACTTACCGCGGCTCCCATTCGACTCATAAAATCGACGTAAATCATTTCGCAAAACGAAAATAGCATTCCTTAATAAGTGGAGTTCGTTATTAACATTATAATTATAGTTCAATAAACATTCAGCTTTGATTTACAACGACCGGTCGCTGGCTCACTGAACGCAGGAACAATTATAGAGACCAATACAACTCGATGTTCTCACAAACACATTACTGTTTTGTCGATATGAATTTTTATCTTCGTTTTAGTCGACGATCTTTTAAATTGATGATTGTGATTAATTTCATATTTGACGCACAATTTATTTTTAGGATTAAAGTCAAAACATTTATTAATTGATTGTTTAATAATATTTTATTAAGTTAATATTATTTATAACATTTAAAAATAGGCCTGACCCAAAACGACTCATAACTTTAGTACTTGTCAGCGCCATCTGTCAGAGAAAGGTGTAATCGTTAAATATATTAGTTACATTCGACACGAGATGGCGTTGTTTTCAGACAAATGTTATTAAAAATATTTTCATGTTAATCTCATTATAACGAAGCAAATAACTTCCTGCTGATTATTTGTCTTGTGACTTCAATTGCTCTAATTTATGGATATTATAATGCTGCATATATTGATTTTATTTTTGCGAAATACTAACATAAACATTAGAGC